GCTGTCACACATTTACTTAAACATTATTAGTTACGAGAAGATGGAGTTAGATGGAGACAGCCTCTTTTACCATATAAGTTTGAGTATTCTCATTACCTGTTTGCTGGATAATCACTGGATATTAGAGAGAGAAGTTGCATGTTTATCACCTCTGGGAATTAAAAGATTGAAGGATACAAAGCAGGGCTGGGATATTGCCATCTTATGTGCATGATTACATCCACATAAATCTGCCATGTTGCATGCATTTTACCCTTGTGTAGGTGCTGTTATTCCTGCTGCCTGTACTGTACATTAAAGGCTAACAAATGAAATGTTCTATTTCCTTTTCATGGCAATGAAGTTAAGCAGTAAAGACTCAGATTCAGGTAAAGTGTACACATATTCTTACTTTCTTGGTATTATTTTGAATTTATTTTATCTCAGTTTTTTAATTTAAATTTCAGCTTTGGTGTCATTTTGTATTCCTACATTAAAATGTGAAGATCAATTCAATTGTTAACCAACTTTTGAGTATATTCCGGTAAATTTAAGGAAGCTTGATAAGAAAATGGTTATGTATAAAATGCCTTGATTCAATGCTGTTATTGATTTTTTTTTTCTATATTTTTGTTATGGTCTTTTTGATTGCACAGAACCTACACTGCAAGGTAAGAAGAAGCGAAGTGTAAAGCATTCAAAGGTCATTACTCCAAAAAAAGGTTGGTGACAACTTTTATGTTAAAAATTGTATTATACAATGCACCACAATCAATTTATTGGTTTAACGATACCATATTGTTAATTTCAGTTTGTTTATATTTTATCTAAGTGATTAGCATTTCATTTGTGGATCCCTTTCTGCTTTTGCTAAATGAAAAAGTCGCTGGTAATAAACTGGTACAATGAAATATGTATTTCATTGTACCAGTTATTATTTCATATATTTCATTGTATCTGATTTATCACTTTCACGGGTTTATTATGAATCAACTTAACGGCCTGCTCCCAGTTGGCTTGTTAGCTCAATTGGTAGAGCGGTGCACTAGTATTGCAGAGGTCAGTGGTTCGAATCCCATACAGGCCTGATTTTTTTCAGGTCTGATTTTCGCTATTGCATAAATAGCGCTATCTACTGCGAGGATCGTGCATCATATGTGGTAATAAACTCATACTATAAATATGTGTTATTGGCCAAGTGCGAGGTCAAGATGGCTGGATATTGGCCCAGTTTTTTTTTGTGTTTCTATAATAATAATAATAATAATAGACTTTATTAATGTGTTAAATCAATAGCAGTTTCCAACTAAATAAGGACATCTAAACTAAACTAATCTAATATATATATAAAATGCATAAAATATGCAATCCTGCCCCTTATAGTTGACCCTATATATATGTACTACCCTACCCTGTGTAATTAAATTACCTAAAAGATTAGAAATACAATACTGATAATATAAAATATTAAGATTTACATAAAATACAGTTCTTGCAATTGTCTGAAGAGATTAAACTTTGTATATCTAATGTATGTAAAGCACTTTTGAATCCTTGTAGCATTCTTAGTGTTCTTGTTTTTCCATCTAATTTAGACCAGATTACTGGACCTAAGTACCTAAGAGAGTGCTTACCATAACGTGTTGTGCTTACTCTGGGAATAATGAAATCATTGTTTCTTAAATTATATCTATTATTATTAACATCCAGCAAGTTCTTAATATTATTTGGGCACAGATCTCTTTTAACTTTATACATTAATGCAGCTATATCATGTAATCTTCTATTATATAAGGTTGTTAATTTAACCCTTTTAAGAAGATTGCTATATGATGATATGATGATATGTTATCACAGTAGACAGCCCTAAGGCCCCATTCCTGTACCCTCTCTAATTTTCTAGAATCACTAGCTTTACAACAATTCCATTTATAGTGCTACAATAAGTTGAATAAGGCAGGCTAGCAGCCTTAAAAAGTTGTAATTTAGCCTCAACTGGGATCAACTTCCTCAATCTATCAATTACGCCTACCCTTTGGCTACTTTTTTTTTACAAATGTCACTTATGTGGTCAAAAAAATTTCAATTATCATCAATGTTTACACCCAATAACTTAATAGAACTGTATGACTTAATGGCTGTCCTGTTAACATTTAACTCTGGTTGATTATCGCTCAGTCTGCCTCCTTTCATTACCATTGTTCCATATTTATCATAGTTCCCTTTGAGAAAGTTTGCATCATACCAAGTTGTAGCCCCTTGAGCAGTATCCTGTAGTTTTGTTTGTATAGTGTTAATAGTATTCTGTGGCTCTCCCACATACCAACTATCCAAGTACCTGACGACAATACTACAACCGCTAACCGACAAATCCAGACATAAACTAAAATCCACTGAAGACTTCATTAACGCTACCAAGACTGTTCAGATACCTGACGACTACAAACTAGTGTCATTTGATGTGAAATCACTGTTCACAAGTATTCCACTTCAATTAGCATTACAATGCACTGAGACTGCAATCCGAAAATCTACCGACCCACTACCGCTACCGACAGACGACATCATGGACTTGCTAAACATTTGCCTAACGTCTACTTACTTTCAGTACAACGGTAAACACTACAAACAGTTACACGGCACTGCCATGGGGTCTCCAGTTTCTGTTGTTATAGCAGAAATTGTGATGCAGAACATCGAGGAACGCGCCCTTTCGACTTGCCGACAAACGATACCGCTTTGGTTACGTTACGTTGACGACACATTCACCGCCGTTCGACACGACGAAATTGACGCATTCCACAACCACCTTAACGAACAAAACACTGACATACAGTTTACCAGAGAAGTCGAAGAAAATGGCAAACTTCCTTTTCTAGACTGCCTGGTAAGCCACAACGACAACTCATTACGAACGACAGTTTACAGGAAACCGACACACACCGACAGATTACTAGACGAGTCATCCTACAACCCTACATCACACAAAGCCACAACTATCAGAACTCTAACACGACGCGCACAACTAGTATGTGACTCGACAGACAGCTTATCCGACGAGAACAAATACCTTCACCGTGTTTTTACGAAGAACAACTACAACAACGACTTCATCCGACGAAACACTCACCGACCCACTACCACTACCGAAACAAACGACACCGCAACCCCTACGACTACAGCAACCATACCGTACATAAAAGGCATGTCTGAAAACATCTCGCGCATCTTACTACCCTTCAATATCCGCGTCGCCCACAAACCCATCACCACACTACGTCAGTTACTAACCAACGTTAAAGACAAAGACGAACCGAGGAACAGACAGGGAACGATTTATAAGATCAATTGTTCCGACTGCCAAGCCTCCTACATCGGTGAGACTGGCAGAAACCTCACAACAAGACTGACTGAACACAGACGGGCGACGAGGAAAGGTGATGTCAGCAATCACATTGCTGAACACCATCGACTTACCAACCACAACATTGACTGGGACTCTGCGCAATGCCTAACCTACAGCACTGACTATTTTCAACGACTGACTCTGGAAAGCTGGTTTACTAACTTAGAACAGACTCCCCTAAACAGATGTCAACAACTACCCGCCCCATACAAACGACTCATTCACGACATAAACATCACAAACGACCGAAAAAGAACAACCTAGCTTTACCGACAGACCGAAACAGACCAATCACGAACGACTTACGTCACTTGAGTCTTACAGCCAATAACATCACGGCAAAACCAACCGATCATTTCACACGAACTGGAATAAGAACATTCTACTGACAACAATCACTCACTTGACTCTGATGATGACTTCCGCACAGGTTGTCGAAACGTCAGTCACTGCCACCGACAACAGTCCTTCTCAGGACTACACTCACCCGGACGATCAGACTACACCTTCACAGTGTTAATATCCTTATCAATTTCATAAAACTGATGGTCATCAGCATACATTTCAATTTTAGAAGGAATACCAAACGTCAAGTCGTTTTGGAATAAATTACCTAGTAGAGGCCCCAACGAGGACCCTTGAGGGCATCCTTTCTTGACCTTTTTCCAGGAACTTGTGATTCCACTAATTCTTAGTCTATTGTAGCGATCTATGAAATATGACTTCATTAGCTTGATGCTCTTGTTGTTAAAGCCATATGCCTCTAGTTTAGCAAGTAACAAAGAGTGATGAATACAATCAAAAGCTTTACTCATGCCAGTACTTAACAGCCCAACGCTCATTCCTTTATCCAGACCTTTTTTCCAGTTTTCTATCAACTATATCTTTTGCAACTGTGTCTCTTCCTATATGCTGTCAGGCCGTCGCTTAAATGTTCATCAAATTCTGCTGTGATCTAATTTGCGAGAAGCTTTTCAAAAATGTTATTTACCATGATCTGTATACTGACAGGACGGTAAATTACCATGTTCAAACGATCGTCCTTTTTATAAATAGGCACCCACTTGCCTCTCTTCCAATTCCTTGGCCAATGACAGCTGGCCATATATCAGTTATAAAGATCGCATAACGGTGTGGCAAGCTCTGAAGAGCCTAATTTAAAAACAATGGGTGGAATATTGTCCCATCCAGAGGCTTTCCTGAGATTTGTGTCTTTCAGGATTTTCAGAACCTCTGGCACTCTTATCCCTTTGAATTAAATGATTTGCAATCACCCTTAGATATGCGTTGGTTTATAATAGCTTGAATGCTTTGGTGATTTGACAGGTTAGTATCTAAAACTTCGCTGGTAGGGCCTATGTTATCTGCAATGGTTGAGAAATAATCACCCATAGTCTCTGCAATGTCCAACTTGTTGCTAATTATTGAGTTGTTCACCTTCAATTTCAAGTCAATTGATTCTTCAACTTTTTTGGATCCAAGAAAAAGCATGAATGATTTATAGAATTCATGTGGCTTACTTCCAAGGTCTTTAGACTTCTTCTCCCAAAAGTCTTTGATTGACTTATGTCTGAGTAGTGTGGCTTCATTCCTTAACTTTTTTTTGTAGTTCCCAGTCCTCTGAAGCTTTAGTTTAGTGAAATCTTTTAAGGGCCTTTCTCCTTCGTCTGATGGCCTTCTTCCATTCCATTCTGTGAACCTTGACTTTCTCTCAGTCCTTTAGACAAGCCAAGAAAAGAACAAGGCTAATATCCAGTCATCTCGACCCAACAAGTTCGGCTAATGAAAGATTTATTATATGGCAAAAAGATTTTTCTGTAGTAAGAATCAAGAATTAGTTGTTTATTTTGAGAGTCAGGAAAAAAAAGCCAACTATGTTTGTTGAAAAATAAACCTAGGAGGGTTGTTTAATATGTTTTCTTTGTTTTCACTGTCTTCTGCCTCTTTTTGAGACTAAATCACCAACATTGTACAAGAGATAAGAGCTTCATAAGTCTGCTCCATACACTTTTTTCTTTTGTGGGATCAAAGTGGGCAATCCTCAGCAGGTAAGATGAGCTCATCTTGCCCACTCAGGTAGCCAATCAGAAATCAAGATTCTCTTCATATAGCACAAGGGAGCTGCCAGATATATAATAAATCTTCCTATTCACTCCACTATTTATAGACGATTTCCAGAGAGCAAGTCTAAGTTGCACAAATTCTCTGAAAAATCCTTGATCTGTAACACTACACCTATATCTTATGATATGTAAAGGTAAATTGCCATACCTTTTTTTTTTAACCTGTTCTCTGCAGTGGATGTAATAACATTATCAGATGAAGAAGAAGTTACAGGTAAGTGGTGTGCACAGTTCTATTGATAATATAACTTCCATTCTTGTGATAACTTCCCAATTTTTGTCATGGTAGCATAGAGAACCTTTGAAACTTTGTACTAGTTGTTAGTAGTGTTAAGGTGTGGCTCGCACTGTATTCAATTATCCTCTGTATTTTCTCTCTTTACCCCACAGAAGTGACAGAAGCCAACCTTGTTGTAGAGCATTCTGAACCCAGCAACATAAGCAATACTCTTGTCTCAGAGTCACCCAATAACCAGGATAAAGAAATTGTTGTGCAGTCAAATTCCATAAGCAGTAGTGTTTGTACAGACATACCTAGCAAACGAAAAACATTACTATCAGAGGTAAATTTTTCTCTTGTTATGAAGAGAATCACTTACTGTACCTTGAACATTGTGATCTATAGCTCCTTTTGTGAAAGCATGACTGTAAAGATGTTTGGTGAAACCATTGAGACTGGACAGAGCAGATTACATTTCAGTTATTTTTATTGTGTTTTAGGAGGAGGGAAATGTCAAGAAGAAATCTGAAAATGTTCAGCCCTATCTCAGAGATGATGTTGAAATAGAGTTAATGCTGGGGCAGAATGTGCAGATTGGAACTTTAGCTTGTAATGCTACTAAGCCATTGAAGGTGAATTTTAGAAAATGTTAGGAATAGCTCTTTTTAAGTTACCCGCTTCATGTTAATTACAGTAACATGAACAATGCTAACTTTAACAGTACATATGGGTTATTAACCAAGTGTGAAGTCAAGATGGCTGGATATTGGCTTTTTTTTTTTTGCATTTTTATGGACCAAGATGAAGTTGAGGTCCTTAAAAATGTGAAAAAATAATGAGGCTAATATCCAGCCATCTCAACTGAACAAGCTTGGTTAACAAAGAATTCATTATATTGCAAAAAGATTTCACTTTAAGAAGAATTAGGAATGGCTTGTTTACTTCGAGAGCCTGGAAAGAAAGCCAACTGTGTTTGTAGCGCAACAAACTCACGAGAGCCATTTCTGTTTTCTTTGTTGTGACTATCTTCTGCCGCTTTTTGCATTTCCATTGCCGAAATTGTCCAAGAATTACGAACGTAGTTCTAATTCAATTTTTTTCATGCATGGGATCAATGCAGGCAATCCTGAGCAGGCAAGATGGGCCCATCATGCCTGCTTGGGTAGCCAATCAGAACAACAGATTCATTTCATCTTGCCCACAGGCAGTGCAAGTGATGTAATAATTCTTCTTATAACATAACCAAAGTAAAGCGCGCGCTCTGATTGGTCAATTTAGCGTCCCCCATTTGCCCATGGGTGTATGCTGCTGACGTGAGCAAATGCAAAGACTATTTTTCTGCGCGCGATTGTTTTTTCTGGTCGCGTAAGATCTGTTAAATAAAAGGGAACTCTTTAGCTACAATGTATCAATGTTATGTTATAAAACAAATGGTAAACACCACAGCGTACACTATTGAGTTATGGATGCACTTGGGAGGTTTGCTAAGCACTCAAGAAGCTAGAGTCGCTCTCGGCTATCGCCTCGAGCGACTCTTACGCTTCTTTCGTGCTTAGCAACCTCCTGCGTGCATCCATAACTCAATAGTGTACGCTGTGGTGTTTACCATTTGTTAATTATTATACAGCTGGCAACATGTGTAGGCAATATGAACTGAATCTTGTGTTCTGATTGGCAAGAGTCCATCTTGCCCACTTGGGATTGCCTGCCTTGATCCCAGCACAAGGGAAAGGTTGTGTGGAGGGGACTTGCAAATTTGCAATTTTTTGACAGTGACGATGATGTAGTTGCAAAAAAGTGAAGAACAAAGAAAACATTAAATGACTCTCATGAGTTTCTTGCACTACAAACACTATTCAATTTATTTCCTGGCTCTCAAAATAAACACATCATTCTTGATTCTTATTATATAAAAATTTTATTTGCTATGAAATAAATCCTTTATTGATCAAGCCTGTATGGTCAAGATGACTGGATATTAGGCTTATTCTTTTTTTGTGATTTTTATATATATGGAACTTGACTTTGTCCCAGTTCATAAAAATGGAAAAAAGAACTCAGCCAATATTCAGGCATCTAGACCTCACATTTGGTCAGTAATGCATATATCTAATGATCTTAGAATTTTTTTTTTAATTACTTTCAGGTTGCTTGCCATAATGATGAGATCTCACTGGGTGTTGATTTTGGTGAGTGTTTCAGTTGTCCTGTAGGCTTGTGTAAAAAACATATGATGATACACTCAGTTGAACTAAAAAAACTTGGAAAAAGATACAAAGCTGGTTTGTTTTTTGGCTTGAAAGTTATAGGTACTCTGGGTTCTCATTAGAAGACAGGTCCTTTAAATCCGCACCACATTATGAAAGTGTCACCTACCTTTTCATTTGGTGAACCAAAATTTAACTCAGGTTTTGTGATTTTTGCATTTTCTCTGTTATGGGTGCCTTACCTTGTAAAATCCTACTGAAACCTCACTGTTCTTTAAAAAGTTTCCACCATAAGTTGCCTCATTCCATGGTAACTGCAAAGTGAGTTTTGGCATTATTCTGAAGTTTTCTAAGTGGTCATCCCATATTAGACCATACTTGAATTATTAAGTTTGTTTCATCTCATAAGGACAATGCCTCAAGACCACCTGAAACCCAGAAAGTGGCAAAATATATTTTATCTGTTGTGGTTTTAATTCTTTCTTCAAGGTTTTGTAGGTTTCGTTATTATCCTGAATCCACCAGAAACCTAAATCTGGTTGTATTGTGAATTTATATGTTCACATTCCTAATGTTTGAAAGTAAAAATGACACATTTTTCATGGCTACCTTTGTTACAGGCAATAAAAATTATGAGGTGACCATAGCAGGGAATGACCTTTCTTTTTTCAAAGTAAGAGATATTCTTGACTATACTATATGTATTAATTTGTATAAGAAAGGGGGCCTATTAGGGAGGGGAACTTGTTAGAGAGGGGCTAATAGAGAGGGGCTTTTAGAGAGGGGGCATATTAGAAAGGGGAGTGTTTAGAGAGAGGGCAATTTATTAGAGAGGGGGCTTATGTCTGAGAGGGGCTTTTAGAGAGGGGGTGTATTAGAGAGGGGGCATATTAGAAAGGGGGGTGTTTAGAGAGAGTGGAATTTATTAGAGAGGGGGCTTATGTCTGAAGCAGGCTTTTAGAAAGGGATTGTATTAAAGAGGGGAGTGTTTTAGAGGGAGGGAAACTTATATCTAAAGGGAGCGTTTAGAGAGGGGGCATATTAAGGAGGGACTTTTTCATTATATTTACAGTATTTGAAAATTATATGGTCTTGGAATTTGACAGGTCAGCGTGATGTTTATTAAATGTTTTGTCTAGGTTAATCCTTCATCAAACCCAGGTCTGATTGTGTTGGGAGTAACTCCTGGCTATGCACTGAAATTAAGGGAGAGGATTGATCGTAACAGAGGAGCCTTTCTTAATCCAGGAAGTGCTGGTAAGTTTGTCCACTATTAATGATGTTTTACTCTGCAGAACTAGGAAAAAAGAAATTGATTCCTTGGGGTGTGTTCTTGTCTTGAGCCATATATATTCATATGTATCCATGGCATAGCACTTCACTTTGCAAAAAAGAGAATAATGAAAATTTTATAAAGGAAAGCAGAACAAGGGAGATAGTCCTCTTCTTCCTTCTTCTTCTTCTTCTTTTTTTTTTTTTTTAATGTTTCACCATCTTTAATCTTCACCAGTTGCAGCTGAAAGGGACATTGTTCTTGAACTCAGTGAACATGTGAAGCCAGAGGTGATGGCTGATTTGGTAGAATGGGTATGTACAAGGTTTCAGCAAAAACAACAACAACAAAAACAACAACATTGAATGTGATTGATTTGAATGGTAGAACTTTTTATTCTTTTTAATAGCTTTGTACTTACTTGTAAGTGTGTATGTTAGATAAGTGCCGCTTTATCACTTATTCTTGCCATTAACTATTGTATTTTTTTATTATTTTGAAGGTGACAGACAAGTTATCAAAAGAGTTTGCTGAATTGAGGTAGGTATAGTTAGACAAGTTAGCAATCAGGCCTCAGTCCTTTGGTGAAAATTGATTTCAATTTTACTTCAAAGGTTGTATTCAATATTTTGACAACTGTTCCAACGTAAGTCCGATTTCTGTGAGGAATCATAAAAAACTTGCTGTGATTTTTGTTCAGTGGTAACTTTTTGTGCTCGATTTTAATTTGTTTTTTCTCAAATTCCGAGTTTCTTCACCATTTTGGATTAATCAACATGCCCTCAGCCAATAAGTGTTCAGAGTTTTGGTCATATGCTGTTCAAGCTGTTATCCGCCTCCCGGTTAGGTCATTTGGTTAGAGCGCTGGACTGTTGTGCGGGAGGTCGAGGTCGATGGTTCGAGCCCCGGTCGGACCAACACTCAAGATCTTAAAATAACTGAGGAGAATGCGCTACCTTTCTTTAATATCAAGAAATGGATAGACATTCTAGTCTTCTCGGATAAGGACGAATAAACCGTAGGTCCCGTCTCCTGCATCTATTAATTAGTTAATTTGGTTAGGCAGGGGACGTTAAAGAACCCACTCACGAGATTACTGTGATGTGGTCTGGCCTGTTTACTGGGAATTGGCGGGGAGGGGACATCTTCAA